ACTCCTAGAGTACATAAGGTACAGACAGCTAACACTGCTGACCTTCAGCTGCTTGTTTGCTTCTCTATTTTTTGCAAGTCAGAAAAATCAGTAGAAGTCAGACAATTAAAAAACCCTCAGAGATCATTATTATTGGAGTGTTACAAGGATTTCTCTTCATTATTACTTGTATAGACTACATTTTTATATGTTTTTACATCTTAATAAAACAGTAATTTCCAACAAGTAGCTTTACATTGTGTGGAGGTCAAACACAGACTAACAGGGTAGAGCAGTATTAATGTGCCACATGCAATAAAATAGCAATTTACATTTAATTCAATGAGTAAAAAAAAAAAAAACTATATATATATATATATATATGTATATATATATATATATATATATATATATATATATATATATATATATATATATATATATATATATATATATATATATATATATATATATGTATATATATATATATATATATATATATATATATATATATATATATATATATATATATACATAAACAGTCTCTAAGTTTTGCACAATTGACCTGTTTTAGAATCCTAAATGAATGCTAGATTTATTTTCTTTTTTATTTTAAAGATCTTCTTAAAGCTTTTGTGTTTCACCTGATTTGATTTTAAAAACTTTACTTAGCTTTAAACATAGAAAACCTTTACTCCCCTCTTTACTCCCCCCTGGGCAAGGATTTTATTATCAATAACTCAAGAAACACTCGAAAAAAACAGCGCAATCTAATTACCGGTAATAATTTCTTTAGAAAAAAACTTTTACTCTTTTCAATCAAAACAGCCACATTTTTTTTTTTCAAACCATGAATAAGTAAATTCTAAAGCATCTCTGACATATCTACCACTAATGTTCGAGGAATTCCATTCATCTGACATGATAGAACAGGATGGGCGGGACGCATTAATATAAGATGAGTATTCATTTGGGCTTGGGTGAGAGGGTATAATCCCTAGTACGTAATAGCAGATCAAGTGAGGTGGAATAGACAAGACAAAAAAAACAACTCATAATAATCTACAGTATGAGGAGACTTCCCAAAAGGGTGCTCCTCTTTGAAGCAAATTTCCACACTACTATGGCAAAAGTAGCTCAGGTATCTACTAACCGTTTCCCAAACTGTGTGAGCTACTGGCTTCCTGATTCAAACAAACTTTAGTCGCAGAAAACCTTGGACAGATAAGACTCCGGCTCAGACACAAAGACAAATGAGGACGTACAGTGTTATGCTTGGTGTTGAGACTATGGTATAAGTTATAAGTAAAGCCTAAATCAGACCGTCATTAAACAAGGAAATGGGCATCCTTTCATTTCTACTGACTGTGGAACATTCAGTGTAAAAACAGTTAACAAGAAAGAAAATTAATTTACCTTTATAGGAGTAAGTACTTTTTTTTCTTTTTTAGAACTAAGTAAGTCTCTAAGTCTAAGAGTAAATGAATCAAATGATGTGAAGCTACTTTTAAGCATTTTAGACTCGTTGCTTGGGTTGTATCCAAGAAAAACAGTAATAATTTAAAACCTGAATACACCTGAATTCAAAGTAATATTTTAGGGATTTAAGAATTGTCTATGTTCTAAGGCAGGCATCCCCAACCTTGGTCCTCAAGGCCCGCTGTCTTGCAGGTTTTAGAGGTTTCCTTGCTCCAGCACAGCTGATTTTAAATGAAAGCTGATTAACAGGCTTTTGGTCTACTACAATCATTATAATCAGCTGTGCTAAAGCAGGGAAACCTCTAAAACCTGCAGGACAGCAGGCCTCGAGGACCGAGGTTGGGGATGCCTGTTCTAAGGTACAAAGATGACAAAAAATGTTGAAGTTAGAAAATACGGAAGGGTTTTGATAGGGCATAGTAACAATACCATTATGTTTATATCTCCTAATTCAAATCAAGCATGGATCTATTTGGTAAATTCATGGGTTTTTAAGTTGATTCAACACTTTTAAGGTTGAAGGTGCTACTTGCAAAGGTATTACTTGAAAATCACAAAACTCTAAAAAAGAAAAAAAAAAAGAAGGGAAATTGGAAAAAGAAATAGCATGACACCTTACGGTTTGATAACTCATTGAAAGCAGACTGACCTATTTCCCCCCAGTTGTCTATTTGTGCTAACTATTATTGGGTATTTGTAGGTTTTAATTTAGTTGTTTTGATTATTAATGCATCTTATAGCACTTTAGAATGGCTTTGTTCATTCTGTGCCAATTTATATGTTGAAAGTATGTCAGATTTAAGTTTTGTTCACTAAACCTATTTATCAAAAATACAGTTGTTTGCTTTAAATGGGATTTCTGGAGCAAAAATAAGCTAATTGAAAGACTGTGATCCTATGTCTTTTAGTAATTCTGGACCTTCTACTACACCTTTCACAGAAGTAAGATCTGAACCCTGATTACATTTTGTTTGAAAACCTGCTATGACAACCAAAGCTGCTAAGCAAGAGAAAGCAGACAGAAGCTCAGTTATAAAAGCGTTCCTGAATATAACTTTCTGGCTGTGGAATAACAGCCCAGTTTAACATGAGGCAGGAGTTTAAAATCAATAATTGTTATTTGTTTTAAAAAAGTCTGACTCTGACTAAATATAGAACATTTTTGTTCTCTATTGTTTATGTCTGTTGTTTTAATCCTATTTCTTAGTGTTAGCAGTTTGAGAAATATAAACAAGACAATACAAAAGCTTAAAGAAATGTTGGACTGAACTGCCTGTATCTCAGGTCATATCAGCAAGAGGCGGCTGTTTTTTAGTGCGATGAAGAGGGTTTGTGACCTGCTGCTATCTGGCTGGCCTTGTGAGCCGCCAGCATGTGTCTGCTTTCATTACTGCTGTTGGAGTGCAGTAGAGTAGCTCAACTGCAGCACTCCTCTTGGTACAAACCAATATTATAACAGCTTCTACCATTCAACATTCAACACACATACGGATTCCAGAAAACTCCCTTTACCAAATCCCTGTTTTTAACACAGTCATGATATTTTATAGTGCTGGGGTCTGCTGTTCCAGATCCAATTCTCAGAAAAACATAAGAAGGAATGTGTTGAATGTGTTTTTTTTTTTTTTTTTTTTTTTATCATACTTGGGAGCTTGCAGTCTGTAAAAGACATGGCAATCGAATCCAGACTCATAGCAAGGAGGGACAGGATATTTTGGAAAAACTTTACAAGTATGCGGTTGTAACCTCACACAAATTAAAAACACACCATTTCAAGGAAGTTCTGCTCATATTTCTATGTGGTTTTATGCCATTGCCGTGCTAAGGATATCACCATGCTTAAAAGCACAGATGACATGGAAACAGTTTAATGTTAAAGCCTATTAACCGGTGTTGAAGCTAAGACAACAAGATTCAGAAAAACAGGGTCAGGTCCATAAAGCCCAGTTCAGCTCTGTGAAGTTTGTCACCTGTTATCTATCTTTTAAAAAGGGTTAAGTTCATGCAACCACACATAATCAGTGATCTGATGTAGCATTTTCAACACGATAACCAAACTTGAAACAATAAGCTGATATGATAATGTCTCTATTTCATCCAAAATGAAAGAAACTCATTGCTGCATGCAAAGAAAATATTAAAATAAGTAGAAAACGATTAAATCAGAAATAATCAGAGGGTTGAATTCAAGGATATTATGGAGATAAAAACTTTTTCATTCCCCTGGCAGTTTTAACTTACAATGTCTTTCTTCAACCGATAAGTTTGTCTTTGATAGAAAATAAGACCGGCATCCCCTCAAAAAATAGGACAATGCACAAGGGAAATACATTTTATGCAATTTATTTGCATTTTAACAAAATCAATCAAAATGATTCCTCCTGTTTCCAACAGTTAATAGCAAAACCTGTATTGGTATAATAGCAATCAAAAACCGAAAACAATTCTGTTTAATTCCAATGGTAACCTCCTTGTTATCACCCTAATCTTTGCTCACTTCACTGTAATTCTTTCAAATATCGAGACTTTGACAAATTAGCTGTAAAAAAACTTGCCGTAAATTAGCTTTAAAACCTCTTTTTAATTCAATAATCTCATTAATAGAAATAGTTTCAATGATTTTACAGTTTTATTTTTAAAAACAAACCTGCCTGTGTGCTCTCTCTCTTTGCCACCTGGACATTTATGTCCTGGGAGAAAAAAAGCTCCTTAAGCGATAAGACATCTACCTTCAGATTTTTCCATTACGTAAGTCAATAGTTTGGGATGTGGCTCCATTTACATTTCATATCTCTTATCTCACAAATCTGACAAGCAGGGTAGGTTTCCAGTTTAGTTGCACATGAAGCTGCACATGCAAAAACATCAAGGTACTGAAAATCCAGAGAGTTTTGCCTGAACCTTCTTCACCGTCCATGTCTTGGCATGGAGATTTTTGAAATGCATAAAATTTTTTTTACTCCCTTTAATGTTGTAGAGTAATTTTAACACTGAAAATGTAGCAAAAACCAAAAGGAAAACATCTTACATAAAAAAAATCAAGAAAAACTTTTTTGTTTTTTTGTTTTTCGAATGCAGTCAGTTTAAATTTTAAATATTTCAGCAATTTAGTTTTAGTTTATCATATCAAAGTAAAAGCTTTATAGAATTGAAGGATTTTATAAACCTCCAAAAGAACCACTTTGCAAAGTAGCTCTAATAAGTAGGCTACTAAGTTATGGTATTGGTCTATATATGTAAAAGAATACTTCCAATCACTAGATAGGCAAAAAACAAAACAAAAGAAGTTTTCTTTTCACCTGTATGCTCCGAAGCCAAATTTTCTTTCCAAAGGGTTTTCCCTCAACATGTTCAAACATGACAACTGAAGTGATTAACAGACAAGCACTGCACACTTTTTGAGGTTTTTGTTCACAAGCAGACAAAACCAAATGGTTATGGGGACACCCTGACCAGCTCTCTGTCAGCACAATGATGAGCACATCTTACATTTGTCTCAGATCGCAATTACAGCAAATAAAACATTCTATATCCAAAAGATCTGTGGGGGTGCAAGCTCACTAACTTACCCTTTTTTTTTGGTGATGATGAGCACGTCATTGAAGAGGAAGAAATAGACCTGCTGTCGGGATTTCCTCTTTGTGAAGAGCCCCGCGTCTTCTGCAAATTCAGTCAGCTCACCTCTTTTTACCAACCACCTGGAGGATGAGACCAGCGGGAAAGACTGAAGGACAGAAGAAAAAAACAAAAACAGGTCAAACAACAAATCTTATAAAATGCAATTAATTACAAAACTTCTGTGCTACATATACAAAAGTGATAAGCGATCAACACTGAGACATCAGTAAGTCCCAAATGTTCGAACAGCTATTTCCCACGCTAGTTAGACGCATACTGAATGAGCCTGCCAAGCCCTGTGTGTTTAGAGTGTAAAGATTATTGCCAGCTGGGAGACAGTTGCATGCATTCTTTACATCGCTACAACTGCATATGTTCATGAAACTGCATTATCTTGTGTTCCCCTTATGTAAATTTGGATTCAAAATATAAATTAAGGTGTAGCGAAGGTAAACCATACTTATACATGTTACATAAATAGGAATCCTAATAACACTGAATAATACCAAAAAAGAAAGCAGTAAAATGTTTGTGTGCATTTTGATTTTTACTTGTGATCATCACAGTCTGGTTTCACTTAATTTACTAATCTCTAAAATGAGAAGTGGTTATCCGTTGTTTTCACACCTTAATCTTGAAATCCAGCTGAGAATTGATGGTGTACATCATCTCTGTTCTCTCCATTTTGCGAGCTCCCTCATTGCACTTCCGCACAACCTGCTCACAGAATAAAAATGTCATTTAGAAAATATATACTGGATCCTGACAAAAATAAGGTATTTCAAGCATATTTAAAAAGATGCATAAATAGCTTGACTGGATATAAATCAGCTGTATGGACAGAGGAAACCATTTTTTTAAGTATTACAAATCAGTTGCTTTTAAGAACACTACCTTTACTACCTTATTTACAAAATAAAAAACTATCTGTTTGAAAATATTTCAAGTTGCAATAAACTGAGACAGTTAAGGTGTAAAACCCTGGGATGCACCACAGTACTATTAATTATGTTAACTTAAATAGAACATCTCTGTAATGAGCATGCAGTTGAAACATTGGTGTGAGTCTATATATAAACTTTATTAATTTAATCTATTTAAGTGAATTGAGTCACCAAGTGAAACACAGTTTAAAGATCAATTACACGCATAAGGCTGTTATTTTTAAAAGGTACTTAAACTCTTCCAATCATGCCTCAATGTAACAATATTTTCTATTGTTCTTGCAGTAATATGTTTTAAATAAATAAAATTGATTAATGTTATTTATTTTTATTAGATCTACTTTGTTTTGATTTAATAGCATTAAAGAAGTCAAGCGTTTCAATGCTGTCGCTTTACTTGTTTACAATCATTTCCTGATCAGAAGCCACAGGAAGTAATTTATCTTTCTTCTTCATCTGTTGATCACCCATTAGCATAATTTATTTTTGGGATATACAAAATTACATAATTACTATACAGGACCAAATCAGGTTAATTTTACATCATTTAATAAGCCAAAGACCAAAATATTCCTGGTAAAACAAGTAAGAAACAGATTAATGCATGCTAAGGTACGTTAAGAAAATCTATTTTACTGTCTGTGGAGATAATAAACTTTTAAAGCACCATTGTTGTTGTACAGTAAATAACATCCCTGTGGGAAGAGGGAGTTAAAGTTAAAGAAAGAAGGAGAAGCGCAACTTTTTAAATGTTTTAAGATTTTAAACAAGTAAAAAATAAAACACCAACCTTGCTCACAGCCTGCAGTGCTTTCTTGCATGATTCATAGTGTGCTGAGTCTTTTAAGGTCTTTTGACAGATGGTCTGCAAAACAGATTTAAGACACACAAGTTTCACATTAAAGAACCAAACTTGGTGGCCGGTAATCCATTCCTGCCAATAAACTCACACAGAATGCAACAAAAATCTCCCTCACTGAGTTCTGAGTATTGGCTTTTTTTGATTTAGCTCCACATAAGTATATTAGATTGTAAAACTAATGATGAAACCTAACCCCCCCAAAAAACAGCATCAGTAAATAGGCAGTTAAAAAGGCAGGCAGAAAGAATATAGAAACTATCCTAAACTTCATTTAAAAAGTAATTATCTTTTCTTTTTTAATAATATATATAAACCAACTGAATTTCCAAAATGTTCGAAAAACTCAGCACAATTTCATTAGCCACACCTTGGCCTGATTGGTGCCATCAAAAATGAATACCTTCTTTACCCAAGCTAAAGAAATGTAAGAATTTATTCTATAAAACGGATGATATAAAAAAAAAAATAGCATCAAGAATGAGAAAAGTTGTCAAATGATTTCTTCAATAAGGGAAAATATATACAGCAACATTAACATGTCTAAAAAAAGGGTTACAAAATCTATGAATTCAGTCTGGTTTGTTTAAAGCAGAGAAGACAGTTCTAACATAAAAGTTCCCTAAATCTTAAGAGCACAATAATCCACACATAGAGAAAGCCTCCAATTGTGTTGACTATGAATGAGTGGGTGCCCAACTAAACATACAGTACTTCAGCAGAACAATAAAAATTCACAAAATAATCTGGAAAAACATATAAATAGAAGCAGGCTTCATAAGTAAATTTAGAAAATACTCTTTTAGGTTGGGCTGAGAAATAAAATTGATTTGCAGAGACATAAAATAATAAATATGTGCTCTGGAAGTTACACAGTTGTTGTATTTCTATGTTCTGGGGCCTCTTGTCAAAGCTATGGATGACTTGCTATAGGTGATAGAATCATAATTTATTTTCTGTATTAAAAAATCAGTATGTCCAGCCATTAGTTTGTGACCTTAAGCTCAAACATGTTTGGGTTATGAAGAGAACAACAATCTATACTCAGAGAAGTCCACCCAAAGACCAAACCGGAAAAACAAAAAACAAAAAGAAAAATGGTAAAGTGGCCAGGGCAAAGTTTGGACTTGATTCAACTGAATGTCCTTAAACAGTCTTGTTTTATCCACAAATTCCCAATAATCTGTCTGAAACAATTCTGCAAAGACGAATTTGCCTAAAATGTTCTATATGACTGAAAAATAAATGTTGCTACTTATAAATTTGCTTGTTTTACTTGTTTCCTTTGTTTTCAAAAATGTTTAAACTTTGGTTTGGACAGATGTTTTTCTCTTTACTCTAGGTATCTTTGAGTTATAAACATTGTTAGTTGAATGAAAACATTAAGGCTTGACAAGAGAAAAGCAAAAAAAAAAAAAAAAAAAAAGAAAAAAAACATAATATGAGCACAGTGGGAAGAAATAAACTGAAATAAAACTTTCTCAGGAACTCAAATTCTCTCATAGTACAAGCATAAACCCCAAAGTCCCAATAGGATTCTCTGAAAGAAGGAGAATAAAATAGTTATGAGAAAAAGAAAGAAGGGGAGATGCATTAAGATGAAACATTTGGTTGCCAAAAGAAACAAGCAAGTGACTAAGAAGAGAAAAAAACAAATGAAAGGATGGAAAGTGGAGCTAAATCATTGTGGATTATTAAAGAATGATGTGAGGTCACACAGTGCCTCTGTGGTTAGAACGCGCCTAGCGCAGAGTCAAATAAACAAAGTGTTACGCAACACTCAAAGTCTTGTAATTCCTCAGCCTGAGCTACTGTTCGCCTTCTTTTAACTCACATCCATGAGCAGAGGCAGACGAGTGATCCTCTGCATGGGCAGGATGAGGAAGGAGATCATGGGGAGGTTCCTGCAGTCTGGGTGGCCCTCTAACTTGGTTAGCACCTCCTTAAATACTGTATTCCTAGAACCACTAAAAACAAAACAAACGGATTTAGAGTACTGTTGATAAAGTTGATCCAGCATGCAATCAAATCTGTTTTAGTATGTTTGCTTGGTCACTCACACAAGCCTTTGCAGAGTCCTTTGCTGATAGACCTCGTTGGAGCAGTACGTGACATATGGGTCGAAGTTTGACTCAGTGTGCCTGCAAACAATGTCGCTGATATCATCTATGACAATGTTCTGGTGATGTCTCTCCTCCAGCTCCTTAAAGAACCTGTGTACATACATAGTAATAGAAAATATTCAAGGTCTGTTGGGCAGGATATATGAACATCAAATTATGAGCCACAAAAATGAACACACATTACACACTAATTGATACAAAGCCAGGAAGGCCAGATAAACAGGCAACATCTTATCTCCATAAATGCGCTGTAAGATCATGGAGAGGAACTCCCAGACACTCAGAATAGATACAAGCCTAATAGTTACCATTACATAAATCCTTTTCCTCTTCCTGAGCACAAGCAGATGGCAGCTTTAACGACACGCAATTTGTCTGACTTCAAGAGAATGAGTGTTTTTCTTGTCCTAACTTAGGTGTCAAAAAGGAAGTTGGAGTAAAGTCACAGGATGCTGACCTTAGCCAGCTGGACCATATCTGAGGTCATCCGGAAACACAGATTCTCTCCGTTTGTAATCACAAACCCATTGAAGTTTTGCTTTATTTGCAAAACAGTGCTTCGAGTGACCACACAACATTTTGTTCATGTATGTCCTTTTAAAGCACTCCTGCTGCTAATTAGCTCTTGCCTTCGGGTCCATGTTCTAAATGTGTATTAAGGGATTTGTCAGCATAAATTGCTGGAGTTAAATCAGCATTATAACAAAGAATGTGCAGAGGGGTAACCCATAGAGCTACGTATACAGTAAGAATCCAAACCTGCCTTGAATCTCTTTAACTGGCTAAGTCACATTTAGATTTTATGGAATACCTTGAAAATTAAATACCAAAAAATTAAGATACATAGCATAATAATAAAAAATAAAATAAAAAATAATAATAATAAAAACAAGTGCTCCCCATGAGACAGACCACATGGGATCATAGGATTAACTTAAAGGAATAGTACACCCAAAACATGATTAGCCTTCATTTTCTACTCATCCCCATGCTGAACAACACTCTGGAGTACTTTTTTGATATCTCAAATGCATCTGGAGATCTGGGAGGCTTCTTGCTGTCTGCTGACATTCAAATAATGGAGGTGCCCAGCGCCCGAGGCAGAAAGGTCCATAAAAGTCCATCAAAAACGTGTCAATATTCCTCCATACTGCTCGTCCAATGTATTCCAAGTGTCCTGAGTGGGTAGCATCCATAATTTACTCGAAACAAAGTCATTTAGAACGTTTTTAGAGCATAAACAGCAGTGTATAGGATTTCCTAAAAGCGCGCGCTTGCGAATTCACGAGCCTACGGAAGCCGGCAGACCAAACCAGATGAAAGTGCGCATTCAGCGTCTGCTCTTGCTAATGCAAGCGTAGAAGAAGAAATTTGCTGTTTACCTGTGCAAAGAAAGAAACAATGAAAGAAAAATGTCTGAGGACTTCAGTGTTGAGGAAGAGCATGAGTTCTTTGCCGTGCTGAATGCGCACTTTCATCTGGTTTGATCTGCCGCGGTTTCCGTAGCGTCGTGAACTCGCAGGCGCGCGCTTTGAGGAAATCCTATACACTACTGTTTATGCTCTTAAAACATTCTAAATGACTTCGTTTCGAGTAAATTATGGACGCTACTCAGGACACTTGGAATACATTGGACGAGCAGTATGGAGGAATATTGACACGTTTTTTGTGGACTTTTATGGACCTTTCTGCCTCGGGCACCATAGACCTCCATTATTTGAATGTCAGCAGACAGTAAGAAGCCTCCCAGATCTCCAGATGCATTTGAGATATCAAAAAAGTACTCCAGAGTGTTGTTCAGCATGGGGGTGAGTAGAAAATGAAGGCTAATCATGTTTTGGGTGTACTATTCCTTTAATGTTTTTAAACGAAAAGTGCAAAATCTCTATCCCAAGTGAAACATGTTTTACCGGATGCAGCCACACTACGTAAGATAGATGACACAGAAGTGGGACTTGTTCAAGCATGTCTAAACACTGGATGGAATAATAACGAAACATTCAAACTGTACAGATATATCTGATGTACCGCTGCATGCACCCATCAATGATCACGTTAACTCAAAGGATTTCATCAAAGGGGGAAATTTCTTTTTAATGATATCAGGGTTATATCTGGCATGAAACTTAAGAACAGCCCCAATAACAATGCAGAGCTCTGTTTGCACCATCAAACAGTGCCATAGACATATGGCATAACATGCATATCAGGGGTACATTGGTAAATAATATTAACAAACTTTTGTTATACAGACATTTGTTAAGCTGTAAAATGAACTAGAGTTAAGACAAGCATATTCTTATTTCATTTTCTTGTGCTAACTCAAGGGTCAATTAGTTTAAAATTTAAGTTAATGTGTGGTTGAAAAACTGTATTTTACATTGCTGGTTGAATAAATTACAGTACGTCGGACTCGTTTCCTGTGAGGGTTGGACTCCACCAAGGTTGCCCTTTGCCACCTACTGAAGCTGCTACCCCCGCAAGCTGATGGATGGATGGATGGATAAATGGATGGATGGATGGATGGATGGATGGATGGTGGATAAATTAAAGAAAGAAAATCTAGTTTTTTGATGTCCTAAAAATATGTAAATACTATATAATGACCCAACCATGACTCTAATATACTGATTGATAGACTGTGAGTCTTTGAAATGTTCATCTTATTTATTTTACTAATAAGGTAGAGATTACTTTGTGTCATTTGTTAGATATAAATCTGTGAAAAAGAAATCCAACATTCTACAAGGCTACCTCCTAAGCCTCCTTTAGCTTAATTTCCATCTATGCATAAATCTTTAAGTTTTCATAGCCTATCATGATTTTATTCCCATTTATTTATAGCAAGAATAGAATTTCTTAGCCATTATTTTTTTATGGAAATGTAGCATAAAATCATGATGGACAGTTTAAACTCAGAGAAATGTCCTTGCAATTAAATATATTTACTGCATTATCTCAAAATATAAACCCAGATTATTTGAAATGTCAGTCTTCTTTTAATCAGTGTGTGTGAGTGTGTGTGTGCCTGTAATCAGTGTGTTTCTATCTGTATAACACCATTTATTCTAAATTGAAAGTATGGTTTACTAGTTACAGATAAAAGAGCAAAACAATTCACTCAAAACAGTATAATACTACATGTATGTTAGTTAAGTACAGATTAAAACATGCAATTTAGTTGAATAAGTACATGAAGTACCATGCTAATGTCATGGCAATCCCACAAACATACTTTTTGCTGGCCTCATAGACATCTGAGATGTTGGAGAAGAGGTGATGGTGGTCAGTCTTGGTCATCACTTCACTAAGCTCTGGAGAGTTTTTGAACAAACGAATAAGAATCTCCAAACTGTGGAGGTAGGAGTGCTCCGAGGAGATCAGTTCAAAAATAGCCTTAAAAGACAGGAAGAAAAAAGAAAGAAGTAGAGATGAAAACTGATGATAAGAAAAATTAGCACCCTAAGTTCTGTCAGCAACATGTCTTACATATCTGTAACCTTAAGTCATATCTGGAATGTAAAACAAGATATATACAACCTAAAATACATGTCAGCCACTTAAGTCTGTTTTAAAACCATCTGAATAATTATTAGCTGTCAGTCTTTATCCTTAATCTTAAAAAAACTTTTGTAAATTTCAGCTTGTTAATATTACATATAGTTTATTTGTGTGCTCCTCTAATTTTCTACTTTGTTGTAATCCATTAAGGCACTAAAATGAAATAGAAAAGCCTAAATCCTACCTCTTGTCTTTTGCGTTCCTCCTGACTCAGCTGTTCGGATGCACCACTTTTCTTTACCTAAACAAAAAATAATATTCATGAACATTTTTTTTCTTTCTTTAGTTAAACCGTTCTGTGTCTTTTGGACGCTAAGGCTGTGACTTCCAGGATTTCTGTGTTTTGAGATCTGGTAAAGCAGACGAGTCCGGGAGTTACTTGTCATGACAAGGCCACTTTTACTTTCAAATAGATAAAATCCTACATGAGAGAACCATACTTGTCTTATCAGGTAGGTGCTATGTGTGTTTTGTTGCCTAACAACCCCTTTAGGCTTAGCTGCTGTGTTCAAGGGGAGCTCAGTCACAAGTATTTCAGCACTAGAACAGATCCTCTCAGTTAACTATGTGAGTTTTTGAGGAGGGAAGCAACACAGAGCATCAATGGGTGCTAAGAACACAACGACTCGGACAGACAGAGTTGTGATTCAAGCCAGCAACCAACCAAGACAAACTCCAGCATCCTATGCCACTGCTGTATTGCTGCAACAACATAACAATTACAAGTATGGAAAAACAAACCTGCCATGACCAAGAAGACAATAAATAAATAAAAGACTTAACATAAATAAATATGTCAACGGATGGACTAAAAGAAAAAATCACAGCAGAAACAATCTCATGTAGCTTCTTCCACTCTAGTTTTAAATCAGTTATCTCAGTCAGAGTGAAAGGAAATTATTTACATACAATCCAATTGGCCTTTGCTGTAAGTGCAAAGAAGCAAACACAGTTTTCTTTAATAATGGCTGAACAACAGAGTGCTTTGTCTTAGATAAGCACAAGGCTATTGCCTAGGTTGGAGAAGGCTGACTAAGTCAAATAAAAAAGTAATAAAATTATAGCTCCTTCTCTTCTTTCACCTTATACCATATTGGTAACATTACAATGAAATAAGCATTAGCTTTTTGTCAAGCATTATTTTTGGAAAAGTATTCCCTTACTTCCACTTGCTGCTTGGGTATAAGGAAAATGGAAGTGAAACTGCCTCCCCAAGGAGCGATATCACCCCTTGGGTTGTATCTGCCCTGCAGTATTTGAGCAAGCACAGAAAACAAACAAACCTGAAGCCGATCAACCCTCTCTAGTAATCTTTCAATTCCCTTTACACATTCAGATACCTGTTTATCATATATTTTCTACACTTTCTCTCTCAACACCTTTCCATTTTCTTGTTTGAACATTTTTAAGCAAAAGGCAGTAATCCTTCTTGTAGTGCCAAGTAAACTCAGGCTCCTGCGTACAGTACAGGGTGTGACGGGAACACTGACACATAGGCCAAATTTGCCTCTTGGAACTTGCATTTCAGGACATAAACTCTAGGTGAGCCCTCCCTTCTGAAACGTTCAACTGTTAGTCCTGGAGCATCCTATATTCTGGGATTTGATGTCAACAACAAATTCTAAATAACTAAACGCCCATTAAAGGAAAGGTTGGGACAAAATGAGATTTCCCAATACGACGTGACTCACTGCAAGAAAACCTGTATGTCTGGTTGCATACGTAAGTTTAAATGGAACCAAACTAAACTTCCTGTCACACCTTGACAATAACAGTAATATTCCACCATTCCCAAAAAAATATATGACTAAGCGTGAGTTTGATACAAACAAACCAAAAAAATATGCACCAATTGTAATGGAATTATAGCTTAGTTCAGAACACAGGTGATCTCAGATTTCCCTAAAGATGTTTCTGCAACATGAGTGGATACCTGGATTCATCAGTTGACTGAACATGATTGGGAATGCGGCACACTTAGGGTTTCACGCTTAACATTTCATATCTTTCAAGATATAAGAGGTAAGATGACAGCAGCTAAATTTATATGTAGAAAACCTTCTCCAGAGTCCTCTGGAGGGAGGATTATTATAGCAATTCACCTTCTGTCATGAAAACCACATAAATGACACACAACCAACATAAAAAGAAGTACAGTAGTTTCTGTCTGAAAATGTCCTTGAGCGATCCAGTCAGCATCCATGCTTAAATTCAATGAAATGTCTCTCAAAAGAGCTATAGATGTTGATTGCTACTCATTTCATTTCAGGTAATTTATATAGCACTAGATCACAACACATTTCATTTCAAGGCACCTTACAGAGATAATATAATGGAGCCATACTTTCAGATTGGCCAATCGCATCCAATAATTGACTTTGCAGGATTCGCTCCTTTTAAATTAGCATGTGGGAATAGTGTTCACTTGCATCATGCCTTTGACTCAACAGCAATCCTTCAGAGCGAGCATGCATGTAGCGACAGTGAAGGGGAAAAAACCTCAATCAGTGCTAGGCTCAGTGTGAGTAGAACTTCTAACAAGGCTGACTGGGGTTGAAAGAGACAGAAGCAGACATACAAAAGTAACATAGGAAAGCTGTCAATAAAAAATGTCCATTAGAAAAGATAATAGTAAATTTGTCAAGGTAAGAAACAGTTAAGCATATGAGCTATAATAAGTTTTCATGACAAAAGGGATAAAGTTAGTCACAGTAAAAGCTGAGCCCATAGCTATGTCTAGAACAAAAACATGACTAATCTCTGGGTAACAGGAACATAACAAAGATCTATATATATAACAAGTCTTTGATGGTAGCAGCCAAGCTTATTTGAATATTGAACGCAATCTGATAAAGCTTTAGGTGATCTGAAAACAAGTATGGTAAAAAGTATAATAAAACAGAGGCCAAGGCTTATAGAAAATTATCAACAAGGACTTCAACCTGTAAATCCTGCCAATGGAGCATCAAAACGTACAGTATTAATCATTGAAAGTGAATACTTAGGAGCCCCTGTATTAATGAATGCTAAAAACTATTCCATATAATGTCAGTATCATTAAAGAAACAGTGAAGAGAGCTGATTACTTTTTGATAGCTCTGTAAATGCCAGCAATTGCACTCTAAATAATGTTTTTGTCATGATGATGGCTCTGTTAGATGGCCTAATTCACCTGACTAACTTTGCCCAGTTTCTAATTACCACTTATCTAATCCACCTGCTCCTGCTTCTTTATATACAGCTCAGTCCCAGCTATCTGGGCCAGATCATTGAGATTTAGTTAATTGCTAAGGCCATAGTTCATGTCGTCATTCTCAGGGGCCAGTGGTGAGAGAGGGTTTTAGCGTTTCGTAGTGTTCCTGATTTTCCTGCCCTGTTCTGCCTCTCCACCACTGAGCTTGCCTGTTTCCATCTGAATGTTCTGCCTGAACTCTCTGTTGGACTCCTGGACAGCCTGTTCCTATTCGTATCTGAATCCCTGTCCGGGCTATGGACTCCTTGAACATCTGAGCTCTTCCACTCTGATCGCTATCCCGGCTAGGCTCGGACTCCTGCAGGTTCTTTGGGGCTTCATCCGCTGCATCTCCTTGGCAGCTTACCATCTGAATTCTACCTCATTATATGTAGATGGACTGAACTGTTTAACCAGGTTAGTGACTCTCATGGATAATCCATCAGATTATCGTGGTCACTAACTTGTGTTTCTCTCCAACCAGAGTATCCAGTGATGGGCGGCGCCCAGCCGCAGTTGCTCATACCACACACCCTCATCTCGCTCCGCTTCTGTATTAAATAAATGCCTTTGAAGTATTCCACTTTCTGTCTTGCCTGAATTCTGGGTCCTACTTCCTGAGTTCATGACAGTTTTACAGTTTGGAAATAATTTCACATTTATTAGAATCTACGCAGCCATTTCGAAACTGATGTTAATTAACACCATCACCCATCTTTGATTCCAAACTTGCACAACAAACAAAAAAAGACAGATGATGAAATTAGTTTGGAAGGATTTAGTAAGAAAGTAAATTAGCCCAGTTGCTCTGTCCCTTCATTCCAAGAGTTGACTATATTATGCAATGCAGAATCCACACATATCCCTACGGGGAACATTTTAAGCATATTTGTAGTGTGACGAGTATCCAGGGTCTGCCAGCACACTGGCATTAAGCCCAGGAGTGCTTCCAAGACTTCCACTGACTATGACGGACTGTCTGCCTCAGATGCCTTGTGTGTCCTATAGGAGTGTGATTCCTGATAAACAGTGAAAGCCACAGAAAGACAGAGGCAAGTGGGAGGATGGGTATGAAATGGGGCCAAACTGGTTCTGACAGCATTCTTTGGAGCACTAGAATTCCAAGACTTTACAGCTACAGCAGTGCAATTGTGAGTATTCCCAGTGTAGAGAAAGACTGTGAGAAACATAACAAGACTTAAAGCTCCCACAACCCTATGTGTGTTCGTCGGTGTATGTGTGATATCTAACCAAGCTGAGTTGGCTCCAGGAGGTACGTATAGGTTTGTACTGCATGACGATGCCCCTATCAGGCTTTGGTCGCCTTGAATCAGCATCCTCATCTGAGTCATTATGAAGAGCTTTCTCCTTGTAGTTTTGGTAAAGTTCCTCTTCTGAAGTTTGATTTTTGAGACACAAAGACAACATAAGGTCAAGGGTGGGGGACATTAAAAGGGCAGAATGCATGGATCAAAATAAACATTAAAGGCAGTTTTTACCTTCACTATCAAAAGTGCGCTGAGATACCAATGTCTTCCTATCTGGTATCTGCAGAAAGGGAAAAAAAGCACAGTCACTTTAAATCAAAGAGTATCAAGAGAACATTTACATTTAAGCAAAATAAACAATCATCACCTATCCATGAGCTGTCTATCCAATTTTTTTTGCAACCTTCTTTACCGACCCTGTCTAATTATAGAGTGTTTGCGGCTTTAAGTATGGACACATTGTCTTGTTACATCACAACCTTCAACAAACAAGTTAATTGTTTTCCTGTAAGGCTTTGCCCTAATGCAAGTTTACACCACAATGGCTGGTCTGTGTTGTGGTTTTATTATTTGGATGTTATCCCCTCCTGACTGTGAAACTTTGTGTCAAAGCAATCTTTGTGCATGTTAGTATATAAGGCATTAGAGGGATTGTGATTAACCCAGTCAATAAATCTAAACCTGAAACAACAAAGAAAAAAAATTATTCAACAGATTACCAAAGTCTACATGGGTTGCCACTGACTATAGGGTCAAATAGCTCTCTTAGTAGCTCTTAGAGGTTACTAATAAAATAGCAGCTCTTTGTTGCATAGGTGTAACCATCTGAAAAACAAAACAGAAATGCTTCACACATTTTTTTCACGCTACAGTACATACTGTTGTTTTTGCATCAAACATACTTTTGGCAAATGCGTCCCATTGTTTTTATTTTCTCAGACTATAGACTCAATGTTTTTGGAATATTTCATCCAGGTCGCATGTTTGTTTGCTTGTTTGTCATGTTTAGTCTTTATGAAGAAAGGGAAATAGGTAAATGCTATACAAAAACGCATTAATTTATTTTGTCAATTAGATTCAATGTAATTGCTCTTAGGTTATTACCTTAAAGATTAAAATGTGCACAAAAAGTGGTTCATATTTAATCATTCTGTGTCACTGCAAGCTTTTTATAGGTTTTTATCAGTGAGATTCATCCTTCTGTTAGACTGTCAAGACTGTTGGCATCACTATATCTAATAAAAAAACAAACAACATGCACCCTAAAGTAGATCTTCATTTTTTTTTTTTGAAGGATTTAAATTATATTCCCTGTTGAATCAGTTTATGAATAAATTCGCCCACCTTGTTTTTCTTGTTGCTTTTAGATTTATCCATCTGAGAACTAAGAGACTTTGAAATCCTGGGGCTGGCAGCTTTAGGTATTCCAGGACTTTCTGGGCTTAAATTGGCAGAATGTGTTGAGGTAGCGGTTGAATCGACCACTCTGATAACAGGCTGGGGCAGCAGAAGGTTCCTTAGATCCACTGAGGGAACATCTGTGTCAACTCCACTCACTACTGCCCTCCTGTAAGATGTACTCCTCAAACCTCTCCGTAATGCCCCCGGGCTGTCATTCTCTCTCTCTCCCTCTTCAGTGTGCCCCCCACTGGTAGAAAAGTAGCCTCCTGCTTCCACCATGCTGAGGACTTTCAAAGCTCGTTTGGGATGGTCCAGACCCAGCCGTTGCATCCCAGTGGAAGGCGGCTTGATTTGTCGTGAGTCTGATACCAATCCTTTGGGAATGAGCTGCTGGGTGCCCATCTTCAGGGCAGCCGGACTGTTGGTACTAAGGACCATGGAAGGAGAAGGAGGGGTTGGGGAGAGAAATGGTGATGTAGAGGAGACAGAGGAAGAGGGGGAAGCAGGCTGGATGTCTTGTGATGATGTCGATGAGGTCGTCTGAGTCTGGCTGGGCAATGAAATCCCTCCTTCAAGTGGTGATGGGGAGCGAGGGGTGGAAAGGTCAGAGGAGGTTAAAGAAGAAAGTGATGGGGTGCTTGAAGTGGAGCTGCGAGAGGGGGTTAGGGTACCAGGAAATGTAGGTGTGGATGATAGTGAGGACAGTTCATTGTCATTAGAAGTTGTGTGTGGAGAATGGATGTGTGAAGAACTGTTGTGGGTAGGAGTTTCAGGTGAGGGTATAGCTGTCCCAGAACTGAAAAGTTCTTTCTCCAAGCCCAGATCAAGAGAACTACTGGTAGATATCTGCATCTCCTGGTGATTATTTTCAGAGATCACACTTTCTCCACCCGGTGTTTTCCGTCTGTCACTATCAAAATTACACACTCTGTTATCCAGTGAAGATCTGTTGTCCTCGGACTTATACTTGGACAATAAGAAGTGTTTATTGTACAAGCGGCCAATGCTAATGCTGCGAACAATTCTGCTTTTCTTAGAGGGTTTGTGTAAAACATGTTTTAACGCCATGCCATTTGCCTTTGGTTGGGGTGTGACAGGCAGTCGCTCAGCTGGCTGGCTCAAAGTCCAGGAACATTTGTCTTCATCCACAGGGATGTCTGCAGTTGTGACCCCATTTACATGGTAGCTCAGGGGTCTTGGCTTGGGTTTGCTCAGATCCTGGGAACCTTTACTGTTGTCTGTGCGTCGCTTCCACAAAGGTGTGATGTTATTGTTGGACAAATCTACATCATTACCCAAATCCATGGCTGTGTATCTTATTTCCACTAACAGTGGTGAAACTCTCAGGTCTCCGTGCAAGAAAAGCAATAGAGAGAGGATTTTAACCCTTGAAAGTAACAAAAGAGAAAAACAGCAATCAGTATCACAGGGCAAAGAAGTGTCCAAATGCACCAGGATTACTCATTAACTAGAGTTCACTGCAGATGCCAGCAGCAACAAAAGTTAAGACAGGAGTGAAAAAACAGGTTGAAACTGAAGGCTAGAATGTGAGGACATTTTAAAATGTTACTACTTATATTACTACAATAAGCAAATGCAAAAGGACAAGTCCTTTTGCATTTGCTTATTGTAGTAATATAAGACAAAACTTTTCTATAAGAATTTTTTATAGGTTCTGTGAGGGCAAAAGTTTAGACTCTTCTTTGATCTCTTTAAATGCTTAACTTAATGAGATTTTAACTATTTTAATAGAGACAAAATATAACAAATAACACAAACTAAAATCAGGCAGATTCTAATCAAAACGATAAAATGCAGTATAATTTTTCAGCAGGTAAAAGTCCAACTTACCTCTACTCTACCGATCTGGTACAGAATGCGCCCATTGTACCTGTGCTCATTGAAACACCAAGGAGGGGATATCAAAGAATTCCTAATTATTCTTCAACACGGATCTTCTCCAAAGTTTTAAAAGTTTAACTGATCAGAGGAAGAATCCGGGAAGCGCAGTTTCCAGCGCGCCTGTTCACCAGTGAGCGCTCAGGACTGTAGTGATCACCCAAAGGAGGGAGGAGAGGAGGAGGAGAAAGAAGGGAGGAGGAATGGGTAAGGAGGGAGGGAGTAAATAAACAGCACTCTACCATAGGAATGAACTCAGGTATGCCCAACTTCCGCTCACCTTCATATAATATAAGAGTGCTTCCCCGAAAACATACATGCATACACCCGAAAGACTGAAATGTCTGATCTGAAATTGTTAACTGAACTCAGCACGACTTAGTTTAGATGTGAAAATAAGGATCTGAGCTTATTATAATATATACCTTTTGTTTTCTCCAAACATACATTTATTTTCCAATAGAATGAATAAAAACTAACTGGGATTATAAATGATAAAAATAAACAGTCATTGAAACAAACAAAGACTCTGTCTTTTTTAAAAAAAATAAAAAAGAAAGAAAAAAGGAAACCAAACATAGTCGGCGCTGCTCAAATCGGTGCCTTGCTGGTTTGCGCCATCGTGTGGTCCGTGTTGCAATTGCAAGCGATTTAATTTAAAATGATTAATATGGAGTTTCAGGGAAACTGGTTACATTTTACAGAGAAACAAAACATAACTTTAAGGTGAATTGAAAGTTGTGTTTTTATTTCTATTTTGTTGAAATGTACTATGATGAAATGTAACCACCATTGCTTTAAAATAATAATAAAAAATATCAACCATGGGTGTAGTAGCCTAAGATGCAACAACTACATTAGGTCTGATTTTTTTCCTTATCATACACATCTCATAAATATTTAAACAAATCCAATCCTTCAAAGATTTATAGTTTTAGTATCCATTTCAGAAAAGTTAAAAACAAAGCAACTTTTTTGGAATGACTATGACCTGGATGACAGAATCTTCACTAGCTGTATCCATTTCAATAAAATGTATTGAAACTTATAAAAGGTAATGATACTATTGTATACACTATAACTCTGAGATAAAGAATCTGCTTCATCTTCATGGAGAGATTAGTCTTTTGGCCTCGAAGCTGATGTCAAATCTTACAGTTTTTCTTTTTAAGCTTCATTATTAAGCCCTAATAAGTGATGTAGTTGGTCAGTGGGATGTGTTGTAATACACACATTTGGCCACTAAGGGGAGCATCTATCCCATCTACTAGGCAAGGGGGAAACTGAATTTCGGAAAATTAAGTATCCCTGTAGAAATTGGATCTTATAGCTGCACTGAAACTCTGCAAAAACAAATAAATAAAACAAGAACATATCACACTACACTTCAATTTAATAAATTAGTAATTTAAGTTTTTTAAACCTAATTTATGCTTGATGATTGTACTACTTTTTCCCCAAGCTTTTTATTGTTATTCCACTGTCACAAGTACAGAAGAACGAAATTCCCTCTCTGCATTTAAACCATCCCCTTGGGGAGCAGTGGGCTGCCATTCTGCAGCGCCTGGGGAGCAGTGTGGGGTTAAGGGTCTTTGCTCAGGGACACAAAGTGGCAGTCTCTGAACAAACGTGGGAACCAAAACCTGCCCATGGGATAAATGGGTTCTGATATCTTTAAGTGGTAGTTCTACAGAATCTCATCTTTTTAAGAAGTAAAATAAATTCCTTAACAAGATGGTGATGTTAGTTGGACAAAATAGAAAAAAGCTTTCTGAAATGTCAAGTTATTTTAGATTAATCCACAATGCTGCAATGAAATGAGAGCAAAGAGTATACAAAATGTTAACATATATCTAGAACACATCCATCATTAAATCTGAATATTTGAATTTCAGCATGAATCACATTATCTGCAGGGCCTGTTTACAAATGTTAGTCATATTCAAAAATTCTATAAAAGACTGTTTGTGTCAAAGTGTTGGCTTACTTACAACCCCACAGTATCATGCTGCCTCTACCAAGTGTCAGCTTGGGAACCGAATCTTCAGGGTTTTTGACAGGGTTAGTTTATCTCCACATCTTATAAGCAGTGCTCCTGTACTCAACAACCTCCCCATTTTAGTTAGTTTCAAGGTTCACAGCTGTTGCTGAATGATGTTGATAGTATCAATTTGGGGAAATCTGTCAGTCTGTCTATTTTTGAGCCACAACACATCATTAGAAGCATAAAGAGCCTGTGGATGACAAAGATGAATATTTCTTATTCCTGACGTTTCAAATGCCCTTAGGCTTCCTAGTTCTAATTCTAATGTTCTCTGACAAGCAGCAGAGGTCTTCACAGAATAATTGTTTCTATACTATTTTAAAATACTAACAGATTAATTCTATCTACCAAATTAGTGGACCTATGGAAGTATTGAAATATAATTTGTTTACAGATGTTGAATTTAAAGAGGCTTTTTAGATTACATTTTTTGAAAAAAAAAAGTTGGAAAGCTGTATAAACTTCCTTTTACTTAAATTATGAGTTACTATGTGTTATTCTACCAAGTTGGACAAGACCAAAATGTAAGGACTCATAACAGAGGGACCCAGAATTCAGGCAAGTCAGACAGTGGGATAGCTTAAAAAGCATTAATTTAAAACAGCAGGCTGCGGATCTGCGGTATCAGCTGCTAGGACATTGAAGGCAGGAACCTCTACAGGATAGAAACACAGGTTAGTGACCACAATATTCTGACTGAGATTATTATGAAAGCTTGAGTCACTTACCTGGTTAAACAGTTCAGAACGAGGATGGGTCCTCTGGGTCAGCTGACAAGACACAGCGGATGCTGCCAGAGTTCCAGACTCTGGAGCCTAGAAGGCTGCAGAACTGGCCAAAGATCAGATCCAAACAGAAGAAGGAAGGTAGGTTAATAAAGGTGGAAGTCAGATCCAAGTTCAGTCCACAAGAAGAATCTGGCAAATGTCCGAAGACAGGTCAGTAACACAGATCAGGGGCAGCCCGGCTCAAAGGTCCGAATACAGAAACGGGTCAGGATAAAGCAATCAGGAGACTTTAAAAACCTTACAAAACTCTCACACAAAAGGCACTGAGTTAGACAGGTGAATGAAGTCAGCAATTAAGCTAGTAAACAGCGCCAAGATCATGACACAAAATACACAAAAGTTTGAGGTTGGTAGGCTGAAGTTAACTATTTTCTCATGGTGTGAATTCTTTTGTGAGTTACTTGCACTTTGGTGACAGACAGTATACAACTGCAGCAATAATAAGTTAGAGCCAGCATTCTTCCAATAGTCTCCTTTTTACATTTTTTTTAATTCCAAAGCCAGCCTCCCTTTGCTTCACAGATCAGTTGAGCAAACCCTGCCAGTGTACACTTTATGCCATAATGTCAACAGCTGTGAGTAAGTCTCTCACTGTGTTTTGTGAGAGTACAAAAAATGTAAACTTTTGGACTCTTTAGCACTTATTCGAGGAGCCTAATATCCATTGCATACTCTCTCTGTACACAACTTAAAAAGTAGAAGCTTGTGTTTGATATTGACTCACCTTTGGCTTGTTGACATACATAAAAATAATAGTTCACATATACCCTGGATTGTTGTTATAAATAACTTTTCTTTGCCTGTTATTGATCTCAGAAAGATATTCTCATGGCAAAGAGGCAGGTAGGGCTAGAGGAGAAAAATATGTTTCCTACCTGTTCTGAAGTTATATCCAAGAGACACAGCTTTATTCACAGTTAGGTCAGCAAAGAATAGGATGTTCTCTTGACTTTGGCATAGTGGTTCTTTGAACCAAATTATTTGAATAACTGCAATAACTTACAAATAAAAAAACTAAGTAAAAGAGAAGATCCTAATATATGGCACTGTTCTACCTTATGCACAAATTAGTTGTTATATCTCCCATCTGTTGATATAAAAAGGTATTAGCAATTTTATTAGGAGGTCACAAAAAAAGCTGACACAATATTTATAGGTTGTTGACTTTCCTTTACTAAATTTCCAAAAGTGAGTAGCCATGGGAATAGGTATGAGACAGGACACCTTTATAAAGGACTAATTAAAAGTAAATAATTATTTTCTTGGAAAAATAAATGATATAAAAAAAAGAAAGATGCATAAATTAGATCCGGACTGAAGTTTAAAAAAGACGAGACATACGTATACAATACTTTAATAGGCTTATAGCTGAATCATAAAGCAAGTAAATACCATCTTGTTCTTCAAAGTGCAATGGATTACTGCCTTTGCCTTCAGTCTTTTGTTGAGTAAGCTGCTTAATTTAAGGTTTTAAATATTAGTGCTCAACCCTTGTCATCTACATTCTTTTATTTAATTGAGCCTTAAACACATTTTCTCCTAAAATGCTAAAGAAAAATAGCATTACAAACCCAAATCAAAAGAACTTTTTGAGTAAATGCACTCAACCCTAACCCTGTGGTAGACACGGGTAAGGACAACGACTCCTATCAGGAAGGGGACAAGAGGCTTACATGTGAGCTGGTACCAGTTGAGGTGCAGAGTTAAATGATACCTGCGAAAGGTTATAAGCAGTCATCTAAACAAAAGGTGTTTCAGCTAAAAATATTGTTTTTTCACATATTTAATGTGTTTATTGTTGTCTAAAGCAAGCTAACAAGAAACAAATTGTTACCAAATGGTACCCCATTAAGACGTGTTTTGAACAGTTGTTAACAAAGATAAAACCCATTTAGATCACTAAGGGTCTAAACACTAATATTAAATAATGTTTATTTATTTTCTCAAATTCTCATTACATTTGAGTGCCTAAATATAACCAAAGAATCAATTTTAAATGAGCCCCGTTGTGTCTGCTAGCTACTAGCTCCATTATCTTCATAAGTGAAACCTATCTAAAGAAGCGATGTTTGTCTTAACTATTCCCTGAAAAACAATCCCAGGAGGTTAAGAATCAATTAACTAAAAATATTATTGATTTCTGATTAAGCAAATTAGGTAATAAATTATTATTTAACAAAATAATACTTTTTAATCTCCTTATATTTGTATTTTGAATTAGTTTGAACATATTCCAATTGCTTGAAATAAGTCTAAAGCTAATTGGACCTCATTCCAAGCTCTTCAACATAAACTATGGTTCAGCATATAATCCATGCCG